AATGTGCCGTGATTACGAGCATAAGCGTAGTAACGTACATCTAGATATATTCGATAGTAGCCTTGTAACATTTAAAAATAATTTACTTGTTTCTTTTAATTTTAAATGTATTTTTTTCACATCTTGTTTATTTCTGTTATTATTGTATCTTGTTTATTATATTATTATGCTGTGTACACTTTTTTGGATTGTAGTTTAGATCAACACCATTATACTTTTGATTTTAGAACTGTATATAACTTTGTGTACCTTATTCAATAAAATAAAATAAATATATTATTTTATTTTATTGAATAAGGTTGTGGCACGAATGGGTCGGCTCGACGATGGTAGAACCACGCTGTCACTGAATGTCAGCGTAAAATAGCAGCTTAACGCTGCTGTGTTACGTATGGTGAGTATAGGGAACTGTAGACCCTTTTACTGGAAACGTACCATCTTAGTCCTCTGGGGTGACAACCCATCTGCATTTTTATTCTTAATTGAGAATAAATGTAGACTATTGGCCACTTACCATAAGGTAGACTGTGTGCTCGTTAGTCACCCTTATGCTATGTTAGCATTCTACTGGCATTATTTACCAAAGTTTTTTTTTTATATAGGATATGAGTGACAAACGAGCACACAGTCCACCAGATAGTAAGTGTTTGCTATGGATCATAGACATACCCTTGATTACGAATCAAAATGCAGATACGTTGTTAACCGTGAGGACTAAGATGGAATGCCTCTTTCTTCCCATTCGTGCTACAACTATACCACTAATATAGCTGCACCATGGCTCTACCACATAGAAGTTAAGTCGGGTGCTGTCTTTTCTTTTCCGAAATGCCGCCCGGGACCATGCTCTACTATCCCTTCCCCTTACTACGACAATGTCACTAAAGCCTTAGGGCAAGGAAGACACCAGAGCTGAGGTTTTTTTATTAATTTTTTTCTTTAAAAAACGTTACACCCACACTAGGATTTTCTTCTGTATCGCGGAGGCAGTTTACGGTCAACCCGGAACAATTATTTATAGACCATATAAATACTTGTTCCGTGCGGGATTCGAATCCGCAGCCCCCAGGCGCTGCAATCCATTATTAAGCCTGCACCACCGAGCCGAGGTGGAGTCAAGACGCAGTCGACGTGCATTGTAATATAGCGATTTAATTTGAACTCAGGACCTACGCCAAAAAGTACGCTGATAACAAATCACGAAGTCTTTCCATAGGAAAATGTCAATGTGACGCAAGATAGACACAAAATATTTATTCTAGAATGATCCAAAGGAAGCTTACTGGCAACATGCCAATCCAACCTCGAAAAGGTCATAACTAAAGCCGCCATAACCGCAAAGAGCAGATGAGTCAGACTTCGCACGACCACATTTACATAGAGCGCTGACCCACAACAATTGACGAAGCAAAGGCACCGTTATCAATAGCATTTTGGATAACGCGATAATTCTCTCAGGAAATTTAAGATAATATTTATCAAGTTACCGGGTGGGTACACTCCATACGTCCGGTATTTGCGTTTCCAATACCAGTCAAAGCCAAGAATTAGCAGAAACTGATGTTGCTGATTTAGATTTTTTATAACTGTCCTATTTTCATTTATAATCTTTCATTCAGTTGTCATCATAGAAGATCACCAGTCAACTGCTGAACATGGGCCCCTTCCACCAAGGAATGCCTCAAATACGATCCTAGTTACATCCATAGTTGACGGTAAACTGGATCGTGTATGGCATCCATAAAGCGGGAAATTAACTTGACGGACATGCCCTCGGGCATGTCTGTAGACAAGCCTGCCGGACTTCGCTACTACAGGTCTGTGCAAAATTTGATAGTGTAGAATCGTCACAGTCGGTCTGGCAGACTTGCCTTTTGAACGTCCGCGCAATCCCACTTTTTCTACACGGGCACAGACATGCCTGGTCTAAAACAAACTGATGAGTCTGTGTAGTGTATTGCGGCGACAGACATGCCGGCGGGCATGTCCGTCAAGTGAATTCCCCGATTTAAGGCATTAAGTCCGGCATTGATTTAAGTTGCCATAATTGGCCTGGAGAATGTTACCATAAAAAGATGGAATGATTTGTTTATAAGTCTATGAAGTTGTTTATAAGTATAAGTAATGAAAAAAAAACAAAAAATTACAGGAAGATAGGTACTTATTATTTCTTTACCAATCTTTGTTTCCTGTTTGCATAAATTATTCATGTTGTGAAAACAAAATCTTTTATAGAATTTTTATTTTGCAAATTTCTTAAGATCATAGTGGCTTTATTGTTGTTTGTAGTATTATTATTTATTACACATATTTTATGAAATACTGATTTAATAAAAATTTAAGAAAGGAGTTAAAAGGAAGCTTCCAGTGCAAAAACAGCTGGAATAGACTTAAGAATCTCTTGCATAGGGCAAAATAAATGTTGTAGCATTATGGAGTACCACATTATTAATGATCAACAACAATGTCTACTTGTTGTGTGTCACTTCCAACCAAGTTCTTAATGAGATTGAACAAGCCACAGATCAGGATTGCAACACATGCTATTACAGGACATGACTCTTTTGACAAACATTTATTTACCATATCTGTTACCGATAGTCCCCTGTGCAGGGCACATATGGAAGAGGAGAAAATGGTGGACCATGTGTTGCTGATATGTCCAGAGGTTGCTGCAAACAGGGCTAAACATCATGCCAGGATCACTGCCCGAAGTTGCTTGCAACATCAAAGGACTGTTGAAGTTCATTGGGGAGATTTCATGGCTTGAATAATCATAAAATTCCTGCCCACGTGCAAAACGCTGAGATGTGCAATTGGGGAAAATAGCAACTTGTGCGGCAAAGTTTGTCTATCGCCAAATAAATAAAATATTAAACAAAGATTTTTTTGAAAAGTTTATATCAATAATAAATGACAATAACCATGGTATTTTAAAAACAAGCTAGATGCTACCAAGCTGTTTGTATGATTTGTAATTTATATATATAAATTGTACTACACAACATCAAAACTCTTTAAAAAATCTAAAGATTTTCTTGTTCGTTTCAGGACATAGGCATAAATAAGGTTTATCAATAATAAGAATTATTTATTATTAGCTGACAAATGAGTTAACTAGCACCTCTTCTGAGCTAAAGGCAACCTCTGCTATTTTATAAATACAATTTTACACAAATTTACTTCTGAACATAAACATAGGTCTCCCCTACATATAGGCTACTATTTGTCATAGTTACTACACTTGGCAGGTAGGTCTAAAATAATTAAAACTTTTAATAAAAATTAAAAACTACTTCAAAACTTTAAAAAATTTATTTCCTCGTTAAAGCTTCTGAAGTCGGAGCTATATATGTAATTCTTGTCTTAGCACACTTCTTTTTAATTATTTTAATTTATTTTAATTAGGGCTTTCAACAATGCCAATGCAAATTCCAGCTGGCAAGCATTTCTTGGGTCATTTATCCATATTCAGCAGCTGGTTAGGCAGATTGCTCGGCGGTGAAGGAAAACATTGTGAGGAAACCTGCATGTCTAAGAAATAAGAAAAAAAATATTTCGAAGACATGTGAAGTTCACCAGCACGCACTGGGGCAGCGGGGCGGACATTCCCTTGCCCTAAAACCCTCTTAGAATTGAGAGGTGGCCTGTGGCCAGCAGTGGGATGTAAATAGGCTGCAACTTTACTTTTTACTTTTATACTTGGTAGGTTTTTTATTATTTTGGCCTAACTAGTTTAAGGAGCACCTTTAAACTAGGTAAGACACATCATTTTATTTTGTTATGCAGATCTTAACTAATTAAATTTTAACATCTTTAATATGCTCAGGGTTTCTCTGCATGATACGACTCAAAAACAAGGATCTCAGCAGTAGAACCAGAGTAACGGACGTAGCCCAACGCATTAGTAAGCTGAAATGTTGAGCTTTTTGCCAGTAAATTGGTTCATGCTGAAGACACAGTGAGTAGTAGCGACTCAAAAACAAGGATCTCAGCAGTAGAACCAGAGTAACGGACGTAGCCCAACGCATTAGTAAGCTGAAATGTTGAGCTTTTTGCCAGTAAATTGGTTCATGCTGAAGACACAGTGAGTAGTAGCGGAACTTCCAGGTTATCCTTGCGGAAGTTTCACTTCATATATAGCATGGGCACTCTTGATATGCTTCTTTTCTGCTCATAATTTATGTGTATTTTAACCGACTTCAAAAAAAGGAGGAGGTCCTAAGAACTATTTTCTAGGTGAACCGCTTTTGATGATTCTTTTTTTATTCGAAAGCTAGTGCTTCTCCCTTAGTCCCATATATCTGATCAAGATCTAACCAGTAGTTTTTGAGTTATCCTTATAATGCATATTTTATTTACTTCGACCACATTGCTGATGTTCTCATTTTATTTATATTGATTGAAGTCTGTTGTACATTTTTTTTACCACTTGTTATGTGTATAAACAAACATGGTCTTATTACAAAACATGGTTGCTTGATAACCACTGTTTTATTTTGCCCCCACTAGGATTTTCACTAGTATCACTAAGGCAACTTACATATACCTATTACACAAGAATAAACATCGTAACACAAAACAGCTTTACAAGCCACGTAAAAATTCGAATCCACAGCCCTCAGCACCACAAATCAATACTAAGCCACTACACCACGGAACCGTCAATATTGATTTAGAACTAATAATATATTTATATACCAATTACCTAAAAAAATTAATTCTATTTTTATTCAAATATCAACTTTGAAACGATAAATAAAAAAAATAAACTTAAGTATGCCAACTAATTAGCAAATATATGAAACCTAAATTACCAGGCAAAAATTATATATGTAGACCGTTTATTGCCTTTTGATGTTTGCTACCGTATCTGTACCTATAGTAATTGTAAATGAACCTCGCATATTAATTGTTAGGCTTATTCGCAAACTTTCTCTCTTGACTTGACGTCAAACATGAATGAAAATATAAATAAAACATATTATTGGTTTACTTACATCGTATGGTACATTTTTCTCGGCGATTGAAGTCCTATCACGATCTGAAAAACATGAAAAATAAGCCTCATAAGGATAAAGAAAATGGGTCGCGTTACAGTGTGCTCTAACGTAATTAGTGGAATTATATCTGTAACAATGTGTGTCATGTTTAGGATTAAGCAATGTATTACCATCATCTTCCGTGCCTGACGGTCCCCTAATAGTTTCCGCCTTTTTAGACACTGAACTATCCATTACTTCTATGTGATCGCTGTCTCCCGAAGCCATTTTTGTTTTCCTCTTACACCCCCTATTTTGGCGTCAATTTAAACAATTTTTGCACAAAATAAATTTTCATGGCTCACATCACTTTTGTATTGGGAACACAACGATTCACTGTAATTTAATTAGAAGAAATCAATTACTTTACGCGAAAATGCTCGCCCGAAGCATCAACCTGACACGACCGTTCAAAGTAACTGTCACAGAGTACTTTTAGAAATATGTATCTGAGTAACTGTGTTGCTAGGCTAATTAACTGCTTCAGTTGTATAAGCTACTCTGTGAATGATAGCCAATGAGTATACTATAGTTAGTTACTATGCTACTATACTCTTAAATGTCTAGTACTTTATATAAGCATCTATTATATTTTCAAAAGTATAATTTAAGTAACATATTAACAATTATTTTTAGTATCATCCGTTATGTGGAAAAATTATTAACATTTTTTAAAAGGAAAAAACGTGAAGTGAAAAAGTTAAAGTAATAATGTACTCATCTAACACACTTATTACTGATGCTGATTAAAATTTATTTATAATGCAGAGTGACAAATTACCTTTAAAGTCAGGGAAGTGTGGCTTCATATTTTATGTTTAAAAAACTGATTTAAAAGTGAGCCTTGATGGCCAAGACTGAACATTCACTTTAAACATAGGTAATTCTATTTTCCAATGGCCAAGTACAGCAACTGAACTTCAGATAAAATCTTAAAATATTTGTTGAAAATGTAGAAAAACTAATTTAACAGGTAAAAAATAAATATAAGTATACTGACTGCCGTGTAGTGGCGGTTAAGAATATCCACTACCCCATATCTTCCCGTGGGTGTCGTAAAAGGCGACAAAGGGAAACAAGCAGGAGATGGGCAGCAGCATCTTCCTGATAATAGCCAAAATAACAATAAAAAAACTGCGGTTGCCAACCCGCTCGCCAAGCGTGGCAACTATGGCAATATACCCCCCATGAGTGTAGAGCTGGAAGAAGAGATAGACAAGTTACGCTGGCATATAATAGGATTATCCGAAGTCCGAAGAGAGGGGGAGGACACGGTAATCCTCGAATCCGGCAACTTGCTCTATTACCGGGAGGGCGACCATCTGTCCCAAGGAGGTGTCGGATTTATCGTCCACAAGTCTCTCGTTAACAACGTTGTAAAGATTGAGAGTGTGTCGACGAGGGTTGCGTACCTTATACTCAGAATCACCAAACGGTATTCGCTGAAGGTCATACAGGTTTACGCACCAACCTCGGCACACCCCGATCAGGAGGTGGAGGAAATGTATGAGGATATCTCTAGAGCCATGCATTCCTCCAAAACCCAATATACGGTGTTAATGGGAGACTTCAATGCAAAAATAGGCACAAGAGAGAACGGTGAGCTGAAAGTAGGGAATTTCGGAATAGGGCAACGGAACCCAAGGGGCCAGCAGTTGGCTGACTTCATGGAGAAAGAGGGACTCTTTATGATGAACTCTTTCTTCCAGAAGCGGCCGCACAGGAAGTGGACCTGGTCGAGCCCCGACGGTTCGACAAAAAATGAGATTGACTTCATTATGACGACCAGACGACAACTGTTCAGTGATGTCTCAGTGATCGCGAGGGTGAAAACCGGCAGTGATCACCGAATGGTTAGAGGCACACTGAACCTAAACGTTAAGTTGGAGAGGTCTCGTCTAATGAAGTCAACGCTCCGTCCCCCTCGTGCTCTAATCCAAAGTCCCGAAACCTTTCAGCTCGAGTTACAAAACCGTTTTCAGTGCCTAGAAGACTGCAATGAAGTGGACGATTTGAATGACAAGCTCGTGGAAACTGTCCATGCGGTCGGAGCTAAGTTCTGCAAGACCCGCCGCAGAAGAACACAAAAACTCTCCGATCACACTCTTAATCTCATGGCTGTTAGACGGGAGATGAAGCTACATTCTTCAACAGATTTGACAGCATACAGGCAACTGAACAGACAGATCTCAAAATGCATGCGGCGGGACTTACGCAAATTCAATACAGCTCGTATTGAAGAAGCGATCGAGCGGAACCAAGGCTCCAAAGTCTTTGCCAAAGATCTGTCTGCCAGAAAGCGCCAACTGTCAAAGCTGAAGACAGAGTGTGGCATCATCGTCTCCGGGGCACATGAGATTTTGAGTGAGATTGAGAGGTTCTATGGGCAGCTGTACACGTCATCGTTGGAGCCACACGCAAGTGTGAGTAACGATCCAAGAGCGAGTCTAATCCGACATTATTCCGATGATATCCCGGACGTCAGTCTGAGCGAGATTAGAATTGCTCTCCAGCACCTTAAAAACGGCAAGGCCCCAGGCGAGGATGGAATTACAGCGGAGCTTCTGAAAGCGGGTGGAAAACCGGTACTTGAAGTCCTTCAGAAGCTCTTTAATTCCGTCCTCCATGGTGGCATTACACCGGAGGCGTGGAGCAGAAGTGCGGTGGTCTTGTTCTTCAAGAAAGGCGACAACGCTCTCTTGAAGAACTACAGACCGATTTCCCTTCTGAGCCGCGTCTACGTGCTGTTTTCGAGAGTCATTACGAATCGTCTCGCGCGCAGACTTGACGACTTCCAGCCTCCCGAACAAGCCGGTTTCCGAAAAGGCTTTAGCACCATAGACCACATACATACCCTTCGGCAAATTGTACAGAAGTCCGAGGAGTACAATTTGCCACTATGTCTGGCGTATGTGGACTATGAGAAAGCCTTTGATTCCGTCGAAATTTGGGCGGTGCTGCAGTCCCTTCAGCGATGCCAAGTTGACTGTCGGTATATCGAAGTGTTGAAGTGCTTGTACACTAGGGCTACGATGGCTATCCGAGTACAGAACCAGAGTACGAAACCTATCCAATTGCAGAGAGGTGTAAGACAGGGTGACGTCATATCCCCGAAACTCTTTACCGCTGCATTGGAAGATGTTTTCAAGCTTCTGGACTGGAAAGGATACGGTATCAACATCAATGGCGAGTACATCACTCACCTTCGATTTGCCGACGATATAGTCCTTATGGCAGAATCGCTGGAGGACCTAAGCACTATGCTCAATGACCTCAATAGTGTTTCCCAACGGATAGGTCTTAAGATGAACATGGACAAAACAAAGATCATGTTTAATGTCCATGTCACACCTATGCCGGTAGTTGTTGGGAACACTAACCTCGAAGTTGTTGACGAGTATGTTTACCTGGGACAAATAGTCCGATTAGGTAAGTCCAACTTCGACCGAGAGGTCAATCGACGGATTCAACTCGGTTGGGCAGCGTTCGGGAAATTACGGCACATCTTCTCGTCAGGTATACCTCAAAACTTGAAAACGAGACTGTACACCCAGTGCGTGTTGCCAGTGATGACATACGGAACTGAGACGTGGTCCTTCACTGCTGGCCGGATGAGGAAGCTCAAGGTCGCTCAGCGAGCTATGGAGAGGGCTATGCTCGGAGTTTCTCTGCGTGATAAACTCAGAAATGAGGATATCCGCAGTAGAACTAGAGTGACCGACATAGCCCAACGGATTAGTAAGCTGAAATGGCAATGGGCCGGCCATATAGCTCGAAGAACCGACAACCGATGGGGAAGAAAGGTTCTCGAGTGGCAGCCTCGTACCGGCAGGCGAAGTGTAGGGCGTCCCCCCACTAGATGGAGTGACGACCTGGTAAGATATGCAGGAAGTCGATGGATGCAGGTGGCTCAGGACCGTGCTTTGTGGCATTCTTTGGGGGAGGCCTATGTTCAGCAGTGGACTTGTGAAGGGCTGTAATGATGATGATGATGATACTGACTTAATTTAACAGGTAAAAAATAAATATAAGTAACTTAATGCCTCATTGATGTTTTTGCTAACGTATCCATACCTATACTATATGATCTATAGTAATATAATAGTGCTAAATATAATATATAGTAAATGAATCTCGCATATGAATTAAATGTGGTTAAGCTATGCTGCAGCTATATTATGGTTTTATCACGAATATGTCGGCTCTGCCGAGAAAAGAACACGATTTTACAGAATTCCAGCGTAAAATAACAGCTTAATGGTGCTGTGTTTCGTATGGTGAGTGTAGAGAAATAGATACTCTTTTTACTGGAGACGAGCCATTTCATTATAAGTCCTCAGGGGTGACTAGGCATTCAAATTTTGATTCTTAGTCGAGGATAGATGTATATGCTTATACATGATGGAGTCATGCTTGCAGCTATATTAAGGTTGTAGCACGAATGGGTCGGCAAGACCGGGGCACGAACATAGCCCGAACCAGCGTAAAATATCTTGTGTTTCGTATGGTGAGTGTAGAGAACCGGAGACCCGTTTTACTGGAAAAGAGGTATTCCATCTGAGTCCTCAGAGGTGACAACTCATTTGCATTTTGATTCTTAATCGGGGATAGATGTAGATGTCTATGGGCCACAGTATCCACTTAACATGTGGTGGACTGTAAGCTCGTTTGTCACCCTAATTCTATAAAAAAAATCCTATACGCCACAATATCTAATAACCATCAAGTTGAGTGTGTGCTTTGTTAAGTTGTGTAGAGTTTGATCTTCTACAGGCAGAACTAATATTAAAATTGAATATTCTATTATCAGTTCTGTGCCTATTACTCTACTTATTGAAAAAATGACGTTTGTATACATCATCATCATCATCATTACAGCCTTTCATAAGTCCACTGCTGAACATAGGCCTCCCCCAAGTAATGCCACAAAGCACGGTCTTGAGCCACCTGCATCCATCGACTTCCTGCATGTCTTACCAGGTCGTCACTCCATTTCGTGGGGGTTCGCCTTTCACTTCACCTACCGGTACGAGGCTGCCACTCAAGAACCTTTCTTTCTCATCGGTTGTCGGTTCTTCGAGCTATATGGCCGGCCCACTGCCACTTCAGCTTACTAATCGGTTGGGCTATGTCGGTTACTCTGGTTCTACTGCGGATGTCCTCATTTCTAAGTTTATCACGCAGAGAAACCCCGAGCATAGCCCTCTCCATAGCTCGCTGAGCGACCT